AGTCCCTGTGCCCCCTCCCCTCCCCCACACCCACACACACATGCTGCTACATGCGCTGGTTTTCGCTGCTTCCCGGGGACATCGCATTGACACACATTCTTTTTACGGGGACTGATTCAGGACTGATTCTAACCTAGCACTAATCCATAAAACAGTCATCTCGGCCTACATTGCCCGAACTCTGACGTGCATTCTTGATTAGATTACCAACATGATTCAGAGCCTCCATGAATCGACCATAGTACGCGCAGATTTTCATCCCCACAATGCGATGAATACCCGCTCACACTTGGCCACATTCCGATGGACTGAGCTTGTGGTGTAATGAAGCGATTATAGTGGGCCTCACGTCCTCAGCCACCCCAGCACCTCGTTGCCGTGCTGGTTCTTTCTCTATAGGCACTCTGCGCGGAGCTAAGCATCCGGTCATCAGATCTGTAGGGACGTGGGCACCAGGATGTAGTTACAATTGGAATGTCAACCCAGCGAGCAGATGCTTTGTACTCGCACCGGTTCACTGAGTTTTAGGAACCACTTGGGTCGTTCGGCAAATTAAAAACCGCTGTAACACAATTCCAAGTGCCAAAGTCGCTAAGTCCTAATGGATCTTGACGTCTTTAATGCATTGCTTTTCATTTTGTCATCACTGGCTTCTGCTGTCGGTTTGATATCGACCGTAATGAACTTACATAACATTTTACAGCCATCACCTTGTACCACTGTCACTTTACTGCACTGTTTAATCTCTGTTGTGTGAACTTGGATTTTGTTTTACTTTTATTCACATTGATTTTTACTTTTAAAACTTAACTGCGCCTTGAGAAAAGTAAATTCCCAGTTTATTTTCTGCTACTCGCAATGACAATCAAAATAATTCTGATTAATGTCATATACTTCGACTGTGCAAATCTCAACATTTTAGAATCTCATTCAGTCTGTCTCATTCTCATCAGTGTTGTTTTTTTAATTCAACTTAAAGGTATATAATTGAATCCAAAGGAAAGTAAATATGTAAATGTGATGGATGTCTATTTTTCTTCTTTCCAAACTCGGGCGGATCATTTGTAAGTTGTGAATATATTGGTGCCTGATGAAACTGTAAAATGTCTTATGTATGCAATGTGTGTATATATAATGTATGTGTATATTATATGTACAGGAGTCTGCTTGAAAGTATAAATGAAAACAAATGAACTTCAACAGCTATTACATGAGGAAATGCTTAATTTGCTTTTGTGCCAATGTTTTACTTGAAAGCCATTGATAACATTCAGGTCTCATTCATAACTCTATAAAACTACCTTAAAACAATGTTAGTTGCGACCCTGCAAAGGTTGTGGTTTGTTTTGTGGGAATGGCTCTTATTGCCACCATCTGCCCCACTTTTGAACCCTTCATATCCGTGCTCAGTCATCTGGGGCCCATGTGTTCCAAAAAGAATCCCTTGGAGATAATCTCAACTACTGGATACAATAACCCCGACTTTGCAAGGATAACATTTCTGTCTCCCATCGATCCAAGCTTTTTCTGTCTCATGGTCCATCCTCTGAGGGAAAACCTCTATGAGAATAATGCATTTTAGGCACTTTTAGTGAAGCAGATTGGAGTTGGCGTGTGGCCCACATTCCTCCAGCGTGACATCCACTCTGTCGGCAGCAGCGCAGCTCGGAGGATATTTTTAGCCCGTGCGAGTGTGAATGCAGGCGTACATGTAAATCCATGTAGAAGAACAAGAAATCAACATTACTGCTTTGATTTTTGTACGACTATCTTTGCATTTAGTGTTTTTAGTGTTTGTTTGTATGCACTTAACTTCTTGATTATCATTTACCAAATATTACTTTTTTCCTGTTTTTACTAACTGATCCAGGAAGATGGCTCACAAACCCTCAATGGCTGACATAATTGGATATTAAATCATGTTGTACATCCACAGTGCTTCTCTGATATTACTTTCCCCCCAACAAACCCACTTCTTCATCAGCTGGTTATTAAATTTGCATGCTTTGGAAGATGGGGTTATGAAGTCAAAGCAGCCTCATTTTTCATCTGTGCTGAAGAGCAGATACTGAAAACGCCTCTGAAACTCTTGACATATTCTCAAGCTCTTCAACAGCTGTGCAATTCCTGAAGGGCTGGGAATGATCTGGGAATATTTTAAAATCACAGTGGGTCTGATTTAGGGCAAATTCGTGGAGAGTGGGATTATTTTACAGTTTAAAAATGTATCATTGGCTATAATTCAGATGTTTTAAATGGACATTTGACATCCTTTATCACTTCACCTTGTAGCTCCTTGTTATAGCAGTTTCCCACTTTGTTTGCCCACAATGCAAATATCTGCATGTTTTCATTCACACTAAAATATCAGTGTGCAAACTGGATGCCAGAATTCATGCTAAATGTAACTACAGTTCTGTGATCGCTGCTCTATTTTTGTAGCGCAGACCTTGTTGCTACAAAAAGCAGGAAATATTTGTGGCACGCTGCCAGCCTCTGAGCAAATCAAAGAAGAAAAAAAAGACTATGAACTTTTAAGGTCAGCTTTTAAAAGGAGTAAAATTCCCTTCCTTCGCAGCTGTGTTTGTCTGTCAGACGGAGATATGGATGGCACAGAGGCTGGCTATGTGAGAGTTTGTAACCCTGAGATCCACGCTGTGTCAGAGTACATTTGGCCTGGTGCCACCCGGCTCCAGAACAGTGCCAGTGAGCTGTCCGGGTAATTGGTACTTACCTGGCTGGCTGGATTAGATGACATTAGCTACAGCAGAAAATGGCATAATTGAATAGTGGCACTACCTTTTCCGCTTGTGTGTGTGTGTGTGTGTGTGCGTGCGTGTGTGTGTGCATGTGCGCCTGTGTGACAGTGTAATGAGGGACCGCTGGCTGCACACAAAACGCAGCCTATCAGCCGCTGACACCCGCTCCACGTTGCACCCAACAGACTTCTCTTCTCTGGGCTGCGTGTCACCCATCAGTTCCATCATACCGACACTTGCCTTTTAATCTCGGGCCCCCTCCTTTCCAGCACCACAAGGCCACATCCCAAAGGCCCGATGCAGACGTGGGAATTCAAAGAATCATCTGCACCTGGTATTTTTATCTGGAAAACAAAAACACATAAAAGCAGGATAAACAACCACTGTTCTGCCTTGTCAAATTTCTCAAACTATGTTTAAGGCATGTCACATGAATTCATGAGTGAATGAGGCCGATACTTGATTTGTATTTAAGAGGCTTGTTTCAGATTCCTGCATATTCAATGTGGTGCTTTGTTTATTTTACATTACATTGGTTGTGACCTGTTGTTGCCAGTAAACAGAGCTAGAGCCCTGCACGGGCCTATTATCTGGGCCCGAGCCCGGCCCTGGCCCGAGGGGGTGGCGCCCCAGCCCGGCCCGGCCCGATATGGTTTCTGAATTTTCAGGCCCGAAACCCGCATCAAGCCCGCCTTTTTTTTTTTTTTGTAACCTCCCATAACAATGTTTTAGCGTAGTATATAGTGCCGCGCACTGATATGAACGCAGACTTAGCTAGAGGGCGGAGTTATACATGGTAGTGATGTGTTGCAATGAGTTCTGTGTGTGCGGAGTGGTGCAGAGTGAACGGCCGCATCTGTATGATGCCCCCGATGCTGCAACACATCTGCACATTACATAAGTAATGCTATGTGCCGTCAATGACAACACTACACAGAACAACAAACACTACAGCGTGATAGAACGCTATATTCAGTGGGTGCGCTCGTAAATCTATTCTGCCGCTCTGAAAATGAAGAGCCCGAGCCCGGCCCGTGTCCGAGGTCATTATGCGGTCATCGGCCCGAAGCCCGGCCCTCGGGCTGTCGGGCCGTCGGGGCCCTCGGGCCAAGGGCTCAAGTGCAGGGCTCTAAACAGAGCTGATGTAATCATATTTTCATGTTTGTTTAGGAAATGTTTTCAACGTTTAATAGATTGCAGATCTGCTATGATAATATTATTGCTAGAAAATCTTCTTGTAATGATTTCCCTTTGAGATTTCTAAATGCAGTTTGCTGATGTCACAGTGTGTGTGCCAGCTGCGCTGCTCAGCCAACTCTCCTGATCGCAGGCCATCAGAGCACTCCCACACTTTCACGCTCTGGGAGATGACTCCGCACTGTCAGAATTGTGCCTTTCACGTCATTAGCATACATTAGATTTTTTCAGTGTTTTTCATGGCGCTCACCCTGTGGCTTGACTACAGAAAAAGTCATTTCAATTATTTATTAATTCCTCCACTGCTTGTGTTCTAATCTCATTTCCTGTAGTCATTAGTGTTGTTCAACATCAAACGAGCCGCCTATGCAAGTGTTGGCAAAGCAATGGGGAGAGAAGTGTTGCTAAACAGTGTTTTAAAGCACTGCTCCCATAGAGTAAATTTACATTTTATTTGACTCTTATTAAATTAAAGTGCACTACAGTCATCATATTCTTTACCTTTTCCTAAACTTCTCAGTAGACTGATGTTTGGATTGGATGATGTGTCTTAAAGATGCCCACCATGTTGGAAAAGGATGCATTGTTTATGTGTGTGTGACTTTTGCTGACCTCTTTGACAATAACATCTTTTGTCTCAGTTAAGCTGGGAGAGATTAGCGACACATGAACTTGCGCTCCCATGATGCTTTTTTCATTTGCTTCCATGCTATTCATCACCATAACACTCTGCTATCATGGTATTGTGCTGTGGAGCAGTCGTTCAATTATTGTTATGCAAATGCACTGGCCTGTGTGTAGCTGCAAGCTAATGTTGTGTTATGCTAATACTGTCAGGCTATTGTCGCCATATTGGGACGAATAGAAGGGAAGGATGCAAGGAAACAATATGAGGAGTTTCCACATTATTGAAGTTATTATAGTTTTATTATGAGTCCATGCAGGTTGTTAATCTTCTTGCGAGATAATTAACTTGCTTCTTTAGGGTACACATTTGTTTATCCATCACAATCACTGACTATTTTCTCTTTTGTTTATGTTTAGGACGACAGTGATGGGATCCCGTGGTCAGAGGAGCGGGTCATGCGCAAGGTGCTCTACCTCTCACTAAAGGAGTTCAGGAGTGCACAGAAACGGCAGCTGGATGGAGATGGAACCACGACCTCCGAATGTGAGTCCAGTTCGAATAAGAGACTACACAAGATCAAACTGAATATCCACCACTGCCATATAGGCCACTAAATACACACATGAGCGCCAGCACTCTCCAAACCTATGACACATTTGACACAGTCATTTCCCATTTTGTCATTCTGATCACAAATAGAAGATTAGATATGTCTTTAACGTCCTGTTATAAAAGGCCAGCTACATTCACAGTATTTAATGTTCATAGTCAGAGGTTTTGGGGCTCAATTTCGGTCATCTCAAAGGGTGTCACAAAATTGCCCACAATTGATCAAACAAATTAGAAAGTGAAACAATAAGAACAAATAATAACAGGTCATTGGTTCAATGTCCATAAAGACATTCCTTAGACCCCTGCTTCATCAGCAAGAACATCTCAAAAAACCTAGTGGGAGATGAGAGAAACCGCAGGCAGCGAGAGAGGGATCCACTCCCATGGATGACCAGGCTATACTTCCAGGACTGAGTTTTAGAGCTCGCCAAAGAGTTTTGCTTTGGATTTAGTTTGTATCGAAGTAGAAACAGAATCTTGTAATGCACGTTTGTTAACGACTGATGTTAAATGATGTGGTCAGCTTTCTGCTTTAGTGCTTCTCAAACTTTACTCTTTCATTTTATATTAAACTGAAGTTGGCAGTTATCTCACAATGGAAATTTAACTCTGAACATGTTTTGGGCAATATTTACAGAATGAAGAAAAAATCTTTTTTTCTGGCATACCAACCTTTGTTTTATTTTACATTAATATCCACAGTTGTCTGTGGGAGAAGAACAAACTACTTCAATGTCAGTGTACATTTGACTTTGGATCTTCGAAGGGGGTAAAAAAAGGCATGGATTTGAACTTCACTCGTGTCTTAGAAGCTATTCTCAGCTGACGGTAACACTAGCCAGACACCAAAAGAAATGAAATCAGTGGGGAGAAAAAAAAAAAATCAAGTTCATTCACTGGCAAAAAAACCAACGAAAGGAGGAAAGTCTTTTTGAAATCACCTTCCTTTATACCTCGTGTTGTCATTATTATATTACAATTTTCTGCCTCTATTCCCTGCCCCCTCCTTGTCGTGTATCCCTGTGTCTTGTCTGCCACCTCATTGCTGCCACTCCACAGCTCCTCAGGGCCTTTTAAGCCTCCGCGGGTAGCTGACCTTATCGCCTGAATAAAAATGACTCATTAGAAAAGCGTCGTCAGCCTGTCGCACCGGGGGTAACGACAGCAGCCCGCGATCGCACAAAAGGGAGCCCGGGTTGAATAGACGGGCCCCGCTGGTTTAGAGCACCGTGGGTTAGCCCAGGCAGTTCTTTCAGTCCCAGTGGCAGTGCGGAGATGTTGTGGTGAAACTGTCAGCCATTTTGGAGGATCAGACCCAGCGTGCTCGACATCCTGAATGGGTGGCTCCTGCTGTTTTAGAGGGCCGCGGGTTAGAGAGAGTGGGATCGTGTGGAGGCCCAAACATGCACCGCAGTTTGTACAGGCAACCAGCCATTTTGGAGAACCACAGAAGGAGTTAAAGGTCGGTTTCTTGGTTAACCAAAAATGGCATTAGTCGACTAATTATTAGAATCTATATGACAAGGATTTCTTGTATAATCAGCTATAATCAGAAGCCGTGGAACAAATTAGTTGAAGATTTTTGAATTTACTTTGAAATTCCAGCCAGATCAATCTCTCCATTCACAACACTTCTTTCAATACTGTATTAATACCAATTTCTAAGAGCTTAGTTTTGGTCCGGTACTATTTGTTAACTAACCGCCAGTCGGAGTTGTTAGGGTTATACATAGTGCACATGCTAAAGTTATTGTTGCCAAATTTGTCACCATAAATTATGCTTTGTTGGTAATTTTTCATTTCTCCATAAGCTGGTGCTTAGTGCTGCCCTATGCTCCTTTTTATAAATCATTATAGATGAAACATGCACTTTATTGGTCCATTGTTTGTCTCAGTCAGTGGGCATTTCCCGTGCTTTCCCTGGTTTAAAAGCTATTCTCCTTGTACCGTCATTGTCGACTTTTATAGCAATTTGAACTCATTTAGCTATAATTACCCATTGAATTGCTCCATTGACGATACACGGAAGTATTACTTTATTGCTCGTGCGATAGAAATGGGTCACAGTAACATTTTAGCTGTGGCCTCATAAAATCAGCGTTTGCATCCCATCATTCCGTCGTGGTGGATGCGAGGCAGTTTTCTTCAGTCTCAATGGAGGTGGGTAGTTGTCAGCCCGTGTGCGTGTTGGTCATGGCTCCTGTCGACCATAACCAGCAATCATGCCATCTCTCGAGTGACGCGTTAACAGGGACACTGGCAGCCGCTCATCTCCTCGCTTCCTGCTCGCTCAATGCATTATTAAACAAATGACATTAGGCCTCATGCTATATCTACATTCGGTCTTTCTTTCCTTGCTTTTTGCTTGTGTCTGTCTCTCTCCGTCTCTCCCTGTTGCCGGGTTTTCGTCGCACATCAGTAGCTGCTTCTTTGGCGCTTTCTCTCGCTTCTCAATTATGTTCTGCTGCCGCCCATTTCTCTCCTCTCCGTCCTGTCGATCCATCTCACTCTTCATCTTTGTCCTTTCCCGCCCGTCACCTTTCAGCCTCTTGTCTCCGCTGCTTGCCCGTTTCAAAATTCGGGTGCACGCAATCATCAGAAATCATGTTGTATTAAGGACTTGACGCGTGAAGTTTCCTTGTGTTGATAAATTGCTGGCAAGTTTGTCTTTCTATCGGAGGTGAGCCAAAGATACACATTCCAGGTTGGCTTGGTGGAACCGTATGAAGGTGGATTGCGTAAGATGTGGGCACTTGGCTGTGAGAAACGGCCATGAGTTGGAGGGAATCAACGGGTCAAATTTCACATAAACGCAATTTTATTCTAACTGCAACTTGTACCAGTCGCAAAAATAAGCCTTTAAATGTAACTTTGGTGTACTAAGTTACCATTTCCCACTGTACAGCATTAAAGGAGCTGTTTAAATGTTTAGCACCGCCCCCCCAACTCGCTCACAGGCTTCTCATTTCCCCTACGCCAGGGGTGTCATTCATACGGCCCGTGGGCCGGAACCGGCCCGCCAAGAGATTTGACACGGCCCGCGGCTCATTTATGTAAAAATATAATTATAATACATTTTAAAAAGCCGCTCCGCGACGCGAGGCGACGCCTCAGCGCCGCGCTCAGGGGTGAGTCCAGTGCGTCTGTAGTGGCTCCACCAGAGCGGTGCTTGAGGAATAACATCTTAAACTACAAGACTCGGCGAAAAATACGGCACTTTGAGCGGAGAAAACAGAAGATAAACATGTCTGGCCCTGAAGACACAGCAGTCTGTTTGTGCCCAGAGCGAGAGGTTAGTTCTGCTGCTGTAAAGGGAAGCTACCTGTGCTAACAACATTAGCATTGGCATCGCAGCCGCACAGTGAGAGAGAGTTTGTTAAAACTCTCACAGGCTGCAGACATGGTCTGAGAAACCACTCGCTTTTACCAACATGTTGCCATCGATAAGAGACTGATGTTACTGATGTCACATATTCATTTGTGGTGTTACTGAAACTATCAGAGGAGTTTTGAGCGCTGCTGCTGGTTCTGCTGTTGTTGCTGGTGTGTTGGACAGTGTGGACTGGTACTGATGGTAAAAACAGGTGTAGTGACAAAGCTGCAAATGGAGGTGATGATTTTTGGACATTTGACTGTATTTTACACAGAGACACTGCTGCAGTCGTTAAGAATGGATCACGTTATGGAAGTTGTTTTATTCATTTCAAGTGAATCATGGTCAGTTTGATGCTTTCTCTGTGATAATAACATAACCATGGACCTTACCACACTGAAGATGGTTAATGTGATAATAACATAACCCTGGACCTTACCACACTGAAGATGGTTAATGTGATAATAACATAACCATGGACCTTACCACACTGAAGATGGTTAATGTGATAATAACATAACCATGGACCTGACCACACTGAAGATGGTTAATGTGATAATAACATAACCATGGACCTTACCACACTGAAGATGGTTAATGTGATAATAACATAACCATGGACCTTACCACACTGAAGATGGTTAATGTGATAATAACATAACCATGGAACCACTGAAGATGGTTAATGTGACCCATGGACCTTACCACACTGAAGATGGTTAATGTGATAATAACATAACCATGGACCTTACACACTGAAGATGGTTAATGTGATAATAACATAACCATGGACCGTACCACACTGAAGATGGTTAATGTGATAATAACATAACCATAGACCTTACCACACTGAAGATGGTTAATGTGATAATAACATAACCATGGACCTTACCACACTGAAGATGGTTAAGCTGAGGTGCTGTGTTAAAGTGCTTTTTTCTGTCTACCTACTTTACCTTTGTGAGCAAGTTTTCTCTGTAATGAGCCTTAAAACAAAGCTAACATACAAATATTAATATACATATTGTGAAATATCATTTTCAATGTAATATTGTAAATACATTACATTATTTGTACTATGGAAAACTCACTGTTACATTTAAGTTTGTAACAGAAAACTGAGTATTAAAGGACAGTGTTTTAAAGGAAGTTTTAAATAAATGTGTTTATGTGCAAAAAGTTGGATTTTGTACCGTTTTTGGATATTTTTGTAGAGCATCTCCTGGTCCGGCCCACTTGAGATCAGATTAGGTTGTATGTGGCCCCCGGACCAAAATGAGTTTGACACCCCTGCCCTACGCTCTCATCCCACGGAGCCATCTAGTTTATTTGCAATCTGATACATATGCTAACAATAGCATTAGCGCAACTTAAGCCGTACAAAAATCATCGATGAAATGGTACAAAAGCAACGCACTGCTAACAAAATTTATAACTGAAAGATTACTGCTTGTTTCGCGTCCGAATGTGGTCCGAGCATAGATAGTCCGAGGCGGTCCCGCAGGTCTCTCCCATAGACAAGTCTCTCCAGAGGATTCGATGTAAGCTAGCTATGTTC